TACATTTACGAATGCACGTTTAATGTATAATGGACGGTATAAGTTAAGCTAAAATTATCTAATTATCTATTTCAGTTAATGTTGCAGATTGCGTTGTTCCTTAATCTTCTAATTGGATCCGGCTTATTATTTTTTGAAGACTGTTAGAGCAATTTTATAATAGTAAGCTTGAACTTTCGATTATGTCAAAAAGAATTTCCGATTCTGGAGCCGCCAAGGGATCTACAAAGCGAAAGCATATTTCGATGTCCATCAAACAAAAAGTGGAATTGCTGCAAAAAATGGAGAAAGGCTCCTTTGTTTCTCTAACCATTCTGAAATCTGTTTATCAATTTCACGCTGCTCTGCGCTGGGGGGGGGTGTTGGAAAATATGGCCTATTTTAACCCTTTTTCTGCATCATCTCTCCTCCTTGAAATATTTATTAGGCTTAGTTCTTATTTTAAAGGGATATAGTAGTTACTTCTACTTCGTTTTTCACTGCCACTGTTTGTATTAAGAACGGACTGTTTCAGCCTAATTAAGATGGAAAAACGAAACTTGATGTTACGTCATCTGGAAAGCCGAATCGTGCCAATAGCTGATTGGTTGCCGTGAGATGACGTCATGTCTACTTCAGGTATAAGTATCTCGCATCGCTCTGGCTCATTCCTTATAGTTCCTGTTTCTTTCCTCCTTGGTGTGCAGTTTCCAGCCCCCATTGGAAGACGATATTGCGATGCGTACAGTCCGGTGATAAGTACCGTAGTTCCAGTCTACAAGATGACTTTTCCTGGATTCTCAAAAGAGGATATGATGTGAGCGACTGCCATAGGCAGCATGCATGTTCTTCATGAAGGTGGCATTTAATACAAGTTAGCGGCGATGTTTTTCTAAGCTGTGATTCCCCGTGTTTAACTATAGTGAGCAGCGTTTTGCCGGTTTCACGTGCTTTCAAGGATTTAATTTTAATTTTTCAGGTGCCTTCTTGAACATGAAGAACCGCATAATTTCTGTTTAGTGATATGTTTTTCGCGTATTGAATGCCAGTACTTGGATCAGGTAAAATATTATTTAATAGTGTAACATTCTTTAAAGTGATATTGTTTAAATTTATTCATTGTGTTTTTATTTATATATATTGTTAATAAATTAGTTAAGTTTAAAACCTTTTTTTGTTCTCAATGTCTGCACAGCACATAACTTTAGGGAGCTTCTATTGCTACTGCTGCTAAATGTTTAATTTTTACAACTTTAAACTTTGTTTTTGCATCAGGGTGGGAACGCTGCAGCACGCAATGAACTGGAAGTTCATCTGCAAGCACTATCCTCATCTTCAGGGCAGATGTTTTTATTTTATTCGGCTTATAATGTAGTATTTCATCTCGTTGTACTCCGCCTTTGATATGATTAAAATCAAATTCCTCGTCATTATAAATATCACGAATACAAATCAAATAGTTTTCTGGTTGCAATTTTTTAATTTCGACTACGCGCAATGCATGCTTTACGCATGCGCGTTGAAAGAAATGTTTAACAAAGTAAATAAATATTAAGCTTTTTTTTTTTTTTTTTTGATAAATTTTTATACCCTTTAGATCATAATTGCTCTTTATTTCATAAATTACGGTTTCATATTTTTAATTTTATAATTTCTGCATGTCATTTTACGAGATTTAAACTGATGATCTATAATCCGGAATCACCGAAGTCCCGACGAGTCCGGATTAACAACTTTTGACTGTATATACAGTAAACTCTCGCTACAACGATACCCGATACAACAATAACTCCCTCTACTACAATAATGTTTTGTGGTCCCGGTGATTTTGCATATAAACTAATGTTAATCTCCCCTCAACATTGCTATATTCTCTAGAACAAATAAACCTCTGTAAACGATTTTTTCAATCTAAATTTCAGTATTTTTCTGCCTTTATAATAATATTTGATTCCAAATGCTTTTTTTTTTTTTTTTTTTTTTCGTTTTCTTTTGATATTTTTTCCGTCTATTAAGACTCATTGTGGATATTCAACTTATCCCTGAATAAATAGCTATTGTTCAGATTTCAAAACAGAGGAAGACCACCCTTTTGGGAATTGGAGTGGGTGAGGTGGGTGAGGTGGGTGAAGTGTAAATGTATGCCTAGTCTCATTTCCCAGTAAACTTTGGAATTCTGATAAGGTTTAAGGACATCTAGACCTGTCTGGTCACCTTGTCACAGAACAAGTGCCCTTTGTTAGAGGAACAGGGGGAGATGGAGGCGGGGTGTTGTTAAGTGACGTACTGAAAAGTGAGTTCAAAGGTTGTTTTATAGTCTTTAACGATTTTGAGTTCTAGCGAAACATTGGTTTAAACTTTTCTTTTTCACGCGATATGTTCCTAAGATGGCAGGGCGAAAGCAACTATCTTTTCGAGATAAACTGAACATTATCAATGATATTGAGAGGGAATGAAGCAGATTGATGTGGCTAAGAAAACATGGATTATCGCAATCTACAGTGCAACGTCCTAAAGAAGAGAAAGCAAATCGAAGATGCTGTAACTTCAAATGAAATTAACCCAGAGCGAAAACGACTGAAAGTTGCGACAAATGAAAACATTGATGCTGCTGTTTTAAAATGGTTTCAAGAGATGAGAGCAACAAATGTCCCAATAAATGGACTTTTTTTATGTGCAAAAGCACGGAAATTTACAGCAATGCTAGGGAAAGAAACTTTCAAAGCTAGCAATGGTTGGTTAATGCGTTTTCGAGATCGTCATGGAATAACTTTCCAAGAAGTTCAGGGATAGAAAAAGTCAGCCCCGATAAACGACGCAAATGAATAGTGGCAAAACAAGATGAAAGAAATCTTAGAAAAGTATGCTCCAGAAGACATTTATAATGCAGATGAAGCTGGGCTGTTTTTCCAACTCCTACCGACGATCGAAACATTGGCATTCAGGGTGAAAAGTGTTATGGAGGGAAGAAATCAAAGCAGAGACTTTTGTCTTCTGTGTACAAATAGCACAGGAATCATAGAATCAACCTCTCGTCATTGGTAAATCATTGAAGCCAAGGTGCTTTAAGAACGTGAAAAGTCTTCCCGTGGAGTATAAAGCAAATAGAAGGCTTTGGATGATGTCTAAATCTTTTTCCGAATGGTTACAGAAGTTAGACAATGAAATGAAGAAGAGAAAGAAAAAAATTGTTTGTGATAGATAACTCACACGTCATTCCAAAGCTACAAAATATCGAAATCGTTTTTTCCCCGCCAATTGCACTTCAATTTTACAGCCTATTGATATGGGCATAATTAAGTGCTTCAAAGGATATTAAAGAAAACGGTTGGTGACTCATACTTGTAAACTTTGAAAATAAAGTAGAAGACCCTTTCAAAGCTGTAAATGTCAAGGAAGCGTGTGGACAACATTGCTGGAAGTTGGTGGGAAATAACAGAAAAAAACCATTCGGAATTGCTGGACAAGGCCGGTCTTTGTGTTATGGAAGATAGAAATCTGATAATGATGAAAATTCCATAGACAATGATCTCTCAGATGATCAAGAATGTGTTTTGACACATCAAAAAAATCCGTATCCAACTTGAGGAAACAAGCGTAAAAAGTTTGGAATTAGTATAGAAGACTATTTAAAGCAGATGATGATTTATGGTTTTCGCAGGAGTATGATGAAGATATTCTCTATGAAATTACTGATGAATAGGAAACAATGATGAAGATGATGATGAATTGATGATGATGATGATAATACAGGTCCATCGCAGTCCTTATTGTCATCCCAGGAAGCTCTTCAATCTGTGAATTCTCTATTCTATTCTTATTTATTTATTTTTTTTTTTTTTTAGTATTTAAACCACTACTAATAGTATTTTACATATTAATTTCTTCTAAATATAGACTTAAAAGTAGTATGTTATGCACCTTAAACTAATAATAAAAAAAAAAATCTTATTAAATGCTCAAAATATGTGGGCCCTCGATATAACAATATGCCTCTCTACAACAATATATTTATTTGGTCCCTAAAATATTGTTGTAACCAGGTTTCACTGCATTTCCATTTTTCACCTGCCAAATAATTTTCATACAGCAAATCTGCACAATCTTATGCTGAGAAATAAACATGTTTCAGCATTAGGCAATATATATATATATATATATATATATATTAGCTTTAAATCAGATTTTATAATTTTGTTCACAGTTCCTACAGAGATACTAAAAGATTTCGCAATAGCTTTTTAGGGGGCTGGATTTTCCTTTAAAACACGAGATGCGATTTTAGATTTAATAAGAGCTATACGTACCTTTGTTGGGTATGCATTTTTTTTTTTTTTTTTTTTTTTTTTTTTTTTTCCTTTTTCCAAGTTAGATGTAAACTTTGACCTTTCTTTCCTTTCATATTAATTATGTCACTTATTTTGCATGTAGAAATATTAAAACCATGCTTTTCACTTCCTATTTTTAATAACTGAATAAGAGTATTTCTCTTTGACAGAGCAAAAATATAGCCTTCGATCCATTTATTTTTCAGCAACATTTTAAAGAAAAGAATATTTTTAATGCTGAAGACGATAATTAAACCATATTCCAATTTGATGCCATTATGTTTGTATTTTAAAATTAATATTTAAATTCATGGACAAAATCAAAATTGTTATAAAAATGAGCAAACACCGTCTGTACACATGCATATCAGCCAACTGCTACTACTACTCTCTCTTCCATTTGAAATAGTTTAAACAACTTGCTGCAGCTCAGCTCATACCCATAATTTTTACTTGCAGAAACCCCTGTAAGCACTGTTTTAAGTGATACAATGACATACTAAAATCTCAAGACTATACTGAATCATGCCATCAGTCAGTGAAGATTAGGAGTGGTTTCATTACCAATAACACTGCATAATAAATCACATACTGCATTATATAATTTTTTAAAAAAATGTGAGACCACACAAACAATTTTTAAATTAAAATAAACTATCTATGCAACATTTATTTAATAGATGAAATAATTACCTTCTCATTTTTAAGCGTAGAGCATCCTGCCTGTGCTTGGTTTTCATGCAGCGAACAAGCTGAACTCCTTTTTGTTCAATGAGTACCCTGTGCTCACGTTCATAACTGAGCAGCTGTTTTACTTGCTAAACAAAAATAATAAATTTCAGTCTTCTGTGGCTCACATTAATGTGATAGAAGTAACTTTGCAAGTTTTTTGTCAAGATACATAATACATACACACCATCACATTTTGGGAAGGGAAATGATTACATTAGTAAATTTAAAGCTATTAAAGAAATTACCCAAAGCTACAGAATCTTTGGAAATTATAACAATGAACTCGCATTTCCTGTTTGAAGAGAGCCTTATTGCATTTAAATCTCTTTATGTGAAAAATATGTAGTTTATTTTTAAGAAATGAACTGTAAGTGACAGCACAGTACAAAGTCCGAGATCTGGAATCTTTCGTGCTTCAGTTGTTCAAAAGATTTTGGAAATTTCTGAATTTTAGATCAACAATTTAAATCTAGTAAGATAATATGTAGAAATGGAAACTAAGGCTTACTTAGAGGCTGTTTAGGTGAGACAGGAAAATGCTAACCCTCTACAGAACTGGCACAACAGCAGATGTAAACAGTATAGGAGCACCGAGTGTCGGATTTAGGGAAGGCACAAATTTTAGAATTTAGAGGAGCACCATGCCGCAAAATTTAGGAATGACAGAATATTTTTAGTAGAGGCATTGGGCAGCAGATTTTAGGAGGTGCTGAGCAGCAGAATTTAGGACCCACACAGATTGGCACTGGGCAGCAAAATGTTTAATGCTGGCTTTAGGACCTCGACTAGAAGGTCACCATTAATATAATGTTTACCAATGCATTGTTACTGGTCATGGTGTAACTCCCTAGCCAGTAGGCATTTAAAAATGATATGCAGAAATCTCAGTCTGGAGAAAAATTATTAACAGCCCACCTGCTTTCATTTGTTGTTATATTCTCCATTACTAGACTTTGTGAGCTAGGGTGGGTAATATTGTATTCTATTTCATTTATATTTATGCTGGTTATCTGGATTTCAGACTTTGTACTGTGCTGACTGCCACCTGCAATACAGCCATCGCAATCTTCTCCATTAAAAACACATTAACACATTTAAAGTAGCTGGAATAGTAAAAAAAACATTACAAGCTCAATAAGCTGAACTATCCAGAAAGCTAAAAAAACACTGCATAATAAAACACATGCATGCTGGACAAGTGAAAATTCCTAATTCTTGAATGAATAAAAAAATGCAATTCATGCTAGAAAAGCTAAATGAATGGAAAAAGAACTTTCCAGTCTAAAATTATAAAAACAGTCATCTTATTTGTTATCAGCTTGAATATCAAAAGCCTATATTAAAAAAAATCAAGAGGGGTGCGTTTCTGACATAAAAACTGATACCTTTTTGAAGGCTTTAAATATATGAAAGTAAAACATCTAATTTGATTAGAAATCTCCTCACAAAAATTGCAGAGATCCTATCAAACTTGCACTAGTCATTGTGGCAGAAGTCTGGAAAAACAAATCACTCTTTATTTAGTTAGATTGCCAAGAAATGCAAGTTATGGATATAGCATAATAATTATACCCGTTACTAATCACAGTTTTTTTTTCCTGTTGTTTCAAGTCATAGTTCTATATGCACTTTGTGCTGGTTTAGCTTATTTGCTTTTCTTAAAAGGAAAAGACTACTAAAATTTTTAAATATTCTGGTTTCTTGAGTTTTCTGGTTAGTTGAATGCTGTTATTGTACTTATTGCACTTTCCCTCTGACCATGAAACTTAACAGAAATTCAGCCTAACAAGTGCAGATCATTCTAGTGGAAATTCGAAATGAACTGATTGCTACTTTTATTTAATTAAACCAGCTGTTTACACTATCAACCACCTAGAATAATTACTTGGATCGTACAGAAATGATTGATTCAATGGCTCTCACAACGAAACTATTACACTATGCGAAGGGAAAACAAGTTAAATAGACACAAGGATGCATGAGCTACTCAGAATGCATAGATGAAGCTGGCCACAAGCGAATGGTATAAATCAGTGTCCATCCCTTTCGCCATCGTGTCATCATTGAGAGAGTCGACAGCAATGATAGAAGGTGACTGTCACAGTCAGTGTTGGACAGCCTGATTCCTATGGAAGGAAGGGATACAGGGTAGTGAGATCCATCATTGCATGGTGTCGGTGTACAGGAACAAAGCACCCTCAAGGCATATCATATCCCGTTGGTTGACCAAGTTCTGCAGTGGAGTGGAGATTACAGCCACAGGTGTCAGCACAGGACGACCAGCAACATCGCATACAGCAGCAAATGTGGCAGCTGTGTCGGATTCGACCATGGCGAACAGGCACATAACGTTCAACAAGATGCAGGAAGAGACAAGACTTGCGCAAGAAACATTGGAGGCAATTGTGCGTGGTGCTCTGGAGATGACAAATGTGTGTGAAAAGTGAGTGGACCTCGGACCTGAAACCAAGACCTCACACTATGCCTTGCTTGACAACATGAAAGATGCAGTCAGGGGCCAACATGTTGAATCTTCTGCCGAATTGTCCATAGATGGTGCACCAACACCCCACAGACTGGTTTACCAAAGTCCTTCGGACCTCCCAGCCAGATGGCAGAAGTGTATTGACAGGGACGGGGATTATTTCTAACTGACGTACTATCAGTTTTTTGTTAATAAATTGTATTCTGCTCTATGGCAGCATTTCTGTCATTCACTTCTGTACAACTTAAATATTATAAAATGAAAAAACATACAGTGGTTCATATTTGTTTTCAGATACTAGTGCTTTTAAATTTTATTCGAAAGTATCAGTTACTAAATATTACTCTGAAATGACTTCCTTTTCTGTCAGGTATGCCACTGATAACACTTTTTTTTTAAATCTGCTTGTTTTGAAAAAAAATTACTCCCATGTTTTTGGTTTTAAAAAAAGGTTGTTTATTCAAAAAGCTCTGAAAATTAATTTGTATAAGTATCCGAAAACTTTGGACAAAGAGTTAATATTTAATAAAAACATGAAAATAACAGGAGATTCAATATTTCATTGGATATCCTTTAACTAAAATTTTAATGAACTTTTGCATAAATTTTAAAAATGTTTTCATATAAGAATGTTCCATTTAGTTCCATTCCTCCCTAATATTTGCTTTTAGAAGAGCTTTTGAAAAACAATCATGTTTTTTAATTTTTTCCTCCAACTCACTCCATAAACGTTTGATAGGATTTAAGTCCGAAGAATATGGAAGAATATTGATAACTTCAGAATAATTGTACACTAACAACAAGTGAAAATTTGGGGCTGAATGTTTACGGTCGTTATTCTGAGGCAGTGAAATATCACTAAACAATTATGGCTTCACTTTCATGCTTAAGTAGGTAGCCAGTAGGTTTTTTTGAATTCAATTCTTCATTCAACTTTCGCCAATTAATAATTTGTTCATTGTACCATAATAGAGGGTGTTTATAAAGACCCGGACCCATTTTGATGTTTAATAACTCATAAAATAATAAAGATAGATTAAAATTAATAACAGAAATGGTTACATAGACTCAAAAAGTTTCATGACCCTTGTCAATGAACTTCCACGTCTGCCCCCTTCGTCGCACGGAGAATAATAAGTCAATATTCAATTTCACGCCCAGGTACCGGCAAGCATGTCAGCATCCACAGAGGCTATTGCAGTTGTAATTCTGGCTTTTAGGACATCAATGTTTGACACTCTCCTCCTGTAAACGTTGTCCTTTACAAATCTCCAAAGGAAAAAGTCCAGTGGCATTATATCAGGTGATCTGGGTGGCCAAGGAACCCTTTCTTGGGTGGCCAGGAAGATGGGTTGGCCTCCTCGCTCAACCCATCTTCCTGTAAAATGGTCATTCAAGGAACTACGAACGATGGTACCCCAATGAGGTGGTGCACCATCTTGTTGCAAAAAGACATGTGGCTGAAGCTCTTCTAGTTGTGGAAATACGAAGTTTTCCAACATGTCTAAGTATACGACTGATGAGACCGTCTTTTCTGTAAAAAAAGAAAGGCCCAATGACTCGGTTGTGCATTAGTTCACACCACACATTAACCTTTAGGGAATCCCTTTGTGCCTCACGGTATTCATGGGGGTTTTCAAATCCCCGTATGTGCACACTATGGCGATTAACAATGCCAGAAAGATGCCAAAAACAAAAGAGAGAAAAAATGCAATTAATAAACAAATGATATTTAGAAAAGTACAGATATTTAGACTGGAAAATGAAATTATCTGAAATTAACCACACGAGCAGACGATATTTACAAAAGTAAAGATATTCAAACCTGAAAAGGAACATATATGTTAGTCCATCAATAAATGCCAAAGCTCTTCTAGTTGTGGAATGAAGTGTGCTTACATCTTCATTATTTTATGAGTTATTAAACATCAAAATGGGTCTGGGACTTTATAAACACCCTGCATATTGAATTTTGACTCAGTTGCAAATGCAGTATTGCTTCAATGCAATAAATCTTTACTCAGCACACATTTTAAGAATGCCAAGAGTATTTTCTTGTTTTCTTGATGACAAATCTCCTTCTGGCTGATCATCTATCATATCCATGTGGCCTAATAACTCTTCTAACAGTCTCAGGCTTTTATTAAGCCCAGGCTGTAGGCTTAACTTTCATTAAGCCCGAACTTCATTAACTGTAGCCCAGACTTCAGTGCATTTTGAAGAGTTTCATGCAGCATCTATTATTTTATTATACGGAAGACAGTCAAACCATCAAAAATTTTTTGGATATTTTGAATACTTTCAACATTTATAATGGTAAATAATTAAATTTCTAACAGATCTTATTAATGCATAGCATCTAGCTATGTTCATATCAGCTACAAAATTGTTAACATATTTTGCTGAATAAGTAGTAATTTCCAAATGCAGACCACATTTCTTGTGATGTAGTTTCATTTAAAACAAAAATTTATTGCATGAAATATCACCTGCTAAAAGATCCCAACAAAACTTTGAAGTGTCCGAATTATTATGTAATTGTTGTTTGACATTTCATGAACAAATTATTTTATTGCAAAGGATATTTTGATATTTATTTTGTAACAAGCAAAGCTTAAAAAAGAAAAAAATAATATTTTAGAAAACAATTTGGAATCTATGTTTAAATATTTAGTACGAGATCCATGCAAACATATTTCAAAAATACAGTTATCTGAAAACAAATGTGAGTCACTGTATAATGATTTTAATGAATCCAGTTAATGTATAAAAATATTTAAAATTTTTAAATACACGTCTCCTTTAAATGCCTTTTTATTTAAATTGGTTGGATTAAAAAGTAGAAAAAATATTATTAAGAACTGAATTTATTGCTTTTAAATTTCTTGGTTTCTTAATCATTAACAGATAGATTCAATTTGAACATTAAATATCTACGCTTTACTGAATGGCAATGCAATGAAATATGCCGATGGAAAGCCAGGAAACAGTAAAATAATTTCTATGCCAGGTAAACATATAATCACACAAAAAAAGGAAGCCAGATTTCATAACTTGGCTTTAAATTTGCCACTGTGACTCTTTTGTAAAATACAAGCAGAAACAAATGACGTTAATTTATACTTACTTTTACTTCAGCTTGTAATTCACTAACTAAGTGTTCTAACATTTTTTGTTCATTTCTACAACTTTCAAGTTCATTTGTTTTGGTTTCCAAATCTCTTTTCAAGTTTGAAATGTTTCTTTTTAATTGATTTTCCAGATCAGTTAATTCAAACACTTTAGACTGTAAAGTTGTTATTTCTCTTTTCCTTGGAAGTGAATCAAAATCAAGAGAAGAACAAGGAGAAAATGTACTTGAATCATCAGCAGAAGATAACCTGAAATTTTAGACAGAATAATTTGAATAAATACTGAAAGACATCTGTTGTTTCCTTATTTTTTAAATTCTATGGAATAAATCATTATACACGCAAGTTACGAAAATAATATAATGAAATACTTGGGAAAGTTTAATATAAAATACTTCAATGAAACCAATCAGTAAAAAAGAAAATCCAGGATATTACAAAATTTCGAATCACATATTTTTTAACTCATTTCAAAATTTATTATACATTTTTGTTCATATTCATAGTCTGTTGTATTTAAAATATTTATTCACAATCATTTATATTATAATTGTGTCGTATGCTGTATATTATATTGTAAGGGAGCCAATTAAGTTGTCTTTAAAAGTAAATGAAGTGGCCCATTCATTTAAAAGTGGTCAGTGCAAGAAAAAGGTTTGGAATCTTTGGTCTAAATATGTGTAGTCTTTTCACTACTCATTGTATATCCTTAGATTGCCTCAAGATTACTGTTTCAGAGGTTATGGTGAATTTAGAAAGAAAGCTTAGGCTGTCATCTCCAAATATGGTGAATTTAATATCAGCTCAAGGTATTAATAGGAACTATTTCTACAACAAGCACACCATTTTATAATAACTTATCTAGTCACATTTGGAATTGTCCAGATTTTAAAAACAAATGGCTCTCCATCTAAATCTGTCATTTAAATGTTTGTAATTTCAAAGTCATTTTATTGAATTACAAGCTACCTGACCATAAAAACCACATAAAACATCACATGCTCAAGTATCACTTTCTGTTCACTTCATAAACTGACAATTTCTGGCAGCTCCAAACCAAATGATATGCAAATTTCATTTCATCCATATATCTTTACAGTTTCAATCTAAACAAAATATGTGTAAATCTCTAATAAATCAGACTGGATCACAGTTAAAATAATAAACAGAGGAGCGTTCTTCCACACAACATTTATTCACGAACACCAAAGACGAACTGATACATATACATAATTGACATCACAGTTTCTTTTTACAAACAAACACTACCGCCATCTATTGGCGATCTATGGATACACAATCCTAAACTTAACACTCCCCCCCCCATGCATCCGTAAACGGATGCATCAATTTTACTGAACTTCAAGATTATAAAGTCTTTCAATTGGTCTTCTAACAACACCCTTATCCAACTGAATCTCACAAGATCTAATTCTATCATCTCTTCCATGAAATAATTCCTTAATCCTACCTATCTTCCAGTTACAGCGTTTCACATTATCTTCTCGTACAAGTACAACATCATTAATTTTAAACACGGGAGAATTCTTTGGAGTTTTTGAAAACATGACTGATCTTAATTCTAACAAATATTCTTTATAAAACCTTTTCCAAAAATGCTCTAATATTAATTGCCTATGCTTCCATCTTTTAATCAACTGAGATCTTGTAGATTCTAGTTTAGATTCAGGTGAAGGTAAAACAGTTAATCTAGATCCAGTTATAAAATGAGATGGTGAAAGAGGATCAGGTTCATTTGGTTCATTGTATACATACGTTATAGGTCTAGAATTAATAACAGCTTCAACTTCAACTAAGACAGTATACAGTTCTTCATAATATAAAGAAGCTTTACCTAAGATACGTTTTAAACAAGTTTTTACAGATCTTACCAAACGTTCCCAGAATCCGCCCCACCAAGGAGCACCTTCTACAATAAATTTCCATTCAAACCCATTTTTACCAAGGAAATTTAGAACCTTTTCATCTTTACATAATTTATACAAATATTTTAATTCACGATCAGCAGTTCTTAAAGGTTTTAGCATTATCAGAATATATAACTCTACAAATACCCCTACGTGCAAAAAATCTACGTAAGGCTTGAATGAAACACTCTGCACTTAAATTTGATAACAATTCTAAATGGACTCCTCGAGTCACTGCACAGGTAAACAATGAAATATACACTTTTGTACCATCCTTTAAATACAAAGGGCCAGCGAAATCTATGCCACTTACCTCAAATGGTTGAGCTTTCTCCACTCGGTCAGCTGGAAGAGGAGCCGATATCTCGTGTCCAGCTTTAGCATTATATTTTTTACAAAATCTACAATCATGTAACACAGATTTTACAAAACGTCTAGCTTTTAAAATCCAAAATTTCCCTCTTACTTGCACTAAAGTTTCATTTACACACCACTATGAAGTACCTTTTCATGACAATTTAAAATAATTAAACGAGAAAAATAATTATTTGGTAATATTATTGGTTGAATTTCATCGACGTCTAATGATGATTTTACAAATCTACTTCTAACTCTTAAACAACCTTTTCATTGATTACTGGATTTAATCCAAACAATTTGGAATTATGAGACAATGGTGTTTTTTACATTTAACATCATTCAGTTCTGCAAAAAAATACTCACCTTGTGATAAGATAATCCAATAACACATAGCATTACATATTTCATTTTTGGTCACAGGACCAATCACTCTATTCTGTGACTTTAAATTATTAATGAATCTAAATACATATGACGTGACTCTTAAAAGTTTACCTAAGTCACTAAAGTTTTCTATTTTTAACACAGGTTGTAAAGGTTGAACACTGCTAGTAACTTGAGTCACAACTCTTTCTTCAACACTATCTACTATGTTACAATGCTCGTTCACTTTAGGCCAATTTATTTCATCTTGATGAAGCCATGGAGGTCCATGCCACCACACTTGATCTACTACAAGATCACTCACTTTAACACCACGTGTGATTTTATCGGCTGGATTATCTGAGCCAGGACAATGATGCCACATACTCGGAGATGTTTTGTCTTGAATTTCGGACACTCGATTTTGTACGAATGTTTTCCATCGCCGTGGTGAGTTTTTTATCCAATGAAGCACAATAAGAGAATCTGTCCATAAATGAATCTTAGCTTGAGGAAAATGCACACGGACTGTAGTTACAAGTCTTGCACCTAACACTGCTGCCATAAGCTCGAGTCTTGGTAAAGATAATTTTTTCAGGGGAGCCACTCTGCTCTTGGCTATCACTAAACTTGTTCCACAATATTTTAAGCTACGGAATTTCACGTACACTGCTGCTCCGTAAGCACTTTGAGATGAATCACAAAAACAATGTAGTTCTAGTGTTTCAGGTGTTTCATCAACATCACGAAAATACCACCGAGGTATCTGGATATTAGGTAGATCACATAGTTGCCTATACCATTTGTTCCACTTGTCTTGCAATTCTGGTGGGATAATTTCATCCCAATCAACACCTTTCAGCCATAAATCCTGAAACAGAACTTTTGCTTGAATAACATATGGAGCAAGAAACCCAACAGGATCGAAGATTTTTGAAGCAGCTTTTAAAACACAACGTTTTTGTTTGGTCATTTGACTGGATGAAATCAATAACGTCTTGTGCATTAAAACAGAAGATATCCTTAATTGTATCCCATTGAAGTCCAAGAATCTTTGAGGGGGAATCACAGTCAGGCAATTTAAAGCTAACGAAGTTGTCACTTGATTTATACTGGTTTTTTACAGTATCCGAATTAGAATTCCATTTGGTCAAAGTCATTGATGCCTTTTTCATTATATCATTGGCTTCATGATATATCTGTATAGCTTCCTCCTCCGTATCTGATCCACAAATAAAATCGTCAACATACATGAAGTTTTCTAACATTTCTACAGTTCTGGGATGGATGTCTTCAAATTTCTTTATATGATGCTTAATGCAAGCGCTCAGCAAAAATGGACTTGATTTTGCTCCAAAAATTACACGACACATCCGATAAACTTGAATTCTCATCAATCCACAAAAATCGCATTGAATCCCGATCTTCAGGTGCAACAGAAATTTGTAAAAACGCTTTCTCAATATCTGACGTAAATGCAATTTGATGAAGTCGAAAATTTATTAAAACTTTCAAAAGTTCAGGAAGAAGATTTGGTCCTTGTAGTAAATTATCATTTAGAGATTCATGATTTTTTTTCCTTTAAAGAAGCATTATAAACAATGCGAAGTTTCGTAGAATTATGATCTTCACGGATGACAGCACGGTGAGGTATGTAGTAAGTTCGTCTCCCAGATGGAGTACCAAGATCGACCTTTTCTATGATTTCTTCCTTAAGCTGATAGTCAATCACTTCTTTATATTGCGCATAAAAGTTCAAGTTTGATTTAAATTGTTTGATCAGATTTAAGAACCGTCTTTCAGCATTCTTAAAATTGTCTCTTAAAGTCACATTCTGATCTTTCCATGGAAGTCTAACTTCGTATCCATCACCTTTTTGTGTAATCGAGTTGTTAAATATTTGCAACGCAATTTCATTTTGTTCTTCGTCAGAAATATTTTTAATTCCTATAGATTCAATATCCCAAAACGATTTGACGCTTTTTAGAAGTTTCTCTTCTACACTTACGTTTAAACACGCATCATGGATTTGAAAATCTGATGAAGGAAATTTGCCTTGTATACACCACCCAAACAAGGTTTTCATAGCTACGGCATTTCTGTTTATCCTTTTTATTTCTTCGCTTGCTATTTTCCACATAATGTCTGCGCCGATTAAAACGGAAATATGATTCATTCCGTCGGCGCCGCCACAGTCTGTCAAAGTGACGCCGAATGCTTGGAGTTTGGATTTCATTTCTACATCTGGTACTCGTATATCAGCATTTGTTATGACTGGTACTTCAATGACTTCGAGATTTATGGATTTTTCAGGGTCATTAATATTTCGGAGCGTAAGTTCAACTTTCTTTCGACGCCAACGTTTCCCGTTCTTTTCACCGAAGGTATGCAGATTTAAAACAGTTTCTCCTTTCACTGGTAACTGTAATTTTCTTGATAAATCTTCTCGAATTGCAGAGATTTGGCTACCACCGTCAAGAAGACATCTCACAATACAGTTCTTATTTCTGCCCTCAGCCACAGCATATACCGTTTGAAGCATAATATTAGATCCAGTTTTGGCAGAAGAATTTTGAACAATTTCCGCGGATGTTTCGGTTTCCTTATTTTTTACACTGGAGACAGCTGATGTGGGATTTACACACACACTTTCATGATGTTTACCGCGGCACTTTTTGCAGGAAAACTGTTTGTTCTTACAGTTGATAGCTAAATGTTTACATCCAAAACACAGAAAACATTTTCCTGTACGTTTCAAAATGTTTCGTTTCTCTTCAGAGTTCACCTCAGTATATATATATTTCGTATGATCTTCTTTATCACAAAATATACATTTGTATCCAATTGTTGATAAAGCTGAAGCAGTCGGAACTTTCGGTTTATAATTCGGATAAACTTTTGTGCGTTGTTCATTTTGACGAAAGTATGGTTTCTGATTCGTTCTCGCAGAGTTCATTAAACTTGCAGCTTCTCGACAGTTAACTTCCTTTTTTAAGAATTCTATAAGTTCCTTTATATCAAATCCTGCTTCCATATTTCGACTTCGATTAAATTCCAAATTTAATTCCTCTGGAAATTTCTGCAAAATGATAGGACAGAGAATATTTCCATAACTTCCAGAAGTAACGTTTAACGATTCTAAACTTCGAATGTTAACTTCGCATTCATCGTACAGCTTACGCAGTGCTTGAACATTTGAAATGTTTCCCACTGGTTCAAGGGATAATAATTTATTCATATGTGAAGTGATAACAACATCTTGTCTTCCAAAATTTCTACTGCAGAATCATAATTCTGGTCACTTAAAGCGAAACCGGAAATGGCAGCTAAAGCATTATCTCCAAGTAAGGATTTTAGGTACGCAAATTTTTCAGTTTTTCTCAATCTACTATGATTATGAATTGTATTTTCGAACTGGTTCCAGAAGTCTAACCATTTACACGAATCTCCGTAATAAGTTCCGATTTGCAGACGTGGTAACTTCACTGTTTTCGTTTCAACTAGAAGTGCAACATTAGCCGTTTCATTCTGATGAACTGTTCTAGAAGATTCCGAATTCTTCTTCAAAAATCATTGCATTCTTCCTCTCCATATAACAGTTTTATCCTGGTATTCTTGACTTAAGGTAACTTCATTTTCAATCTCCTCCGAAATTACTTTCGTTTCTATTTCTGAATCTAAACTTTTCAGTTCATTGATTTTCTCAATTAAATGTTCATATAAATCATCGATTATCTCAATTTTCTCATTTAGCGGAATATTATTTGCTAAATTTGATTCGACTTTGGTTATCAGTTTCGTAGTTAATTGTCTAACAACCGATCGTTTCTTTTTCAAATGTTCAAGAACGCCCTCCATTTTCAAAATATTCAGTCTGTCAATTGTCTGGTTCGTAATAATCCCGGTTTGCAGGCACCATAAACAAAATATGTGTAAATCTCTAATAAATCAGACTGGATCGCAGTTAAAGTAATAAACAAAGGAGCGTTCTTCCACACAACATTTATTCACGAACACCAAAGACGAACTGATACATATACATAATTGACATCACAGTTTCTTTTTACAAACAAACACTACCGCCATCTATTGGCGATCTATGGATACACAATCCTAAACTTAACACAATCCTTCCTACTGCTAAATGTACAATAATACTTTGAAAAATATGTATTACCTAAATTTTGAGCACTAAGACACAAAAATGAACTGTTATTCTTGTTATCATGTTAAAAATATTCACGTTACAGCAAAGAATGTCTACTGTGAACAATAATGTTAAACACAACACACATTAAAAGAAAATAAATGTAATGTCTATAATATTGAGATAGCATATATTTCCTTCAGAGAACACTTGTGTATAGCTCACATAAATGCTTTTAATAATGCAGAATAAACAAACTCTTTAATAATGCAGAATAAACAAACTCTTTAATAATGCAGAATAAACAAACTCTTTAATAATGCAGAATAAACAAACTCGGTTTCTACAGTGTCATATGTAATTTTATTTATAGGTTTTTTTAATGTGTTGGAAATTTTCGTATGGACTTTATATCAAGAATATTAACAAAAAATTTTTAAAAAATTAAAGAAATCTAAGAACAAACTTTTTTTTTACAAATTCTTCTGTTTGGGATATTGGCAAGTAAACAGTTACACAATCACGAAATAAAAAGTTTATTTTTCTTATCATAACTCACCTTTCTACATGAGTTTCAAATGGTGAAGTGTAAGTAAAGCCAATGAAAGGTAAATTCTTTCCAGAAAATTCTCGCTTAGATTTCAGATCTCCTATAGATGGCCGATTTTCTGGCTCAAAATCATCAAAATTAGAAGTGTCATCGACACTTGATACATTTGGCACAAAAGGTGGGGCAGCTGTAATTAAAAAAAAAATAAGGTATAATATATATCTAAATGATTACATATAATAATAATAGTAACAATCTTTATATGAACACATTAAAATGAAAATCTGAAATGATTCAGATTTTAATGTCACATTAGAGGATTTTGTTAAGTTTTTTTAAAACTCGCATCGAGCACTGAATGTTATTAATCTGCTCTTGAACTCATTCCTGTTAACACTTTTTTTTTTTGTCCTTTTAGCTTTACTAAGCATCACTTTCTTTGCACTTATGCCACATAAAGTTCAAGAACAAAACCATAAAATATTTAACAGCAGCATATCTTTAAGAATTGGATGTTGCTATACAATTTTTCATATTCGCTACACTAGTGCTTTTTTTAAAAAAAAAAAAAAACTAGCTGTTTAAATGGCGAACTGGCTAAAAGAATTAGAAAAAAAGAAAAAATACGTAATGAACAAGATTAAATTTAAAATGCATTTTTATTTAAATCAACTGGATTAAGAAGTAGAAAAAATACTCTTAAGAACTGCATTTATTGCTTTTCAGTCATCTGGTTTGCTACTCAATAACAAAGATTAAATTTTAAAATTAAATATCTTACATTTTACTGAATGAAAACACACTGGTGCATTGAGATAATGAGGTAGTGGCAAAACATTGCTTTCAAACAGTCAAATCTGTGGATTAAAACTGAAAGATAAACATCTTACATTCTGCCAAATGGCAACAGTCTGGCATCGTGGAGATAAAAGTACTATATTTCAAACAGTATTGCCATTTCTCATTTTCAAATTGCTGAGCTTGTTAAACAAAAATACATTAAATTTGAACAAAATATGAAATAAACCAAAAACAAATCTAAAATTCAAAATCTGGACTTTGAGTTGGCCACGTTTCAGTGGTGGACTATTATTCAAAGTTTGGTGGTTCTAGATGCCATCGCTTTTCACAAGGAGCATACATACATGCATGCACTCAGATTTTTCATTATTTCATTTTTTTTTAAATAATCCATCGCAATAACATTTGGTGGCAACAATCTGAAAAGTGATTTAAACAAAAAGTGAGTTTTGAAACTAATCTACATCTTTGGTGCTAAAAATGCTAATTATACAAAAGAGATTCTACATTTTCGTCGAAATTTAGTTTTCAGTCTATAAAAATGATTTTAAATGTTTAAAGCTTTGAAAAAGAATAAAACATAATACTCACTGTGGCGGATATTATTCCAGTCTATATCTATAAACAAGGGATGAACAATAAGCTGATCATAGCCAAATCGAAGAGAAGCCTCTTGAAGCAAGTTTTTTATCAAGTCTATCAACATTTCTGAAACTTCTGATTCTTCAGGTGGAAAATTTAAAGAATTCTGAAACAATTAACTCCAAAATATAACGCTGTGTATAAATTTTTAAATTATGTAATATAAAGGAAGGAATACCATATAAAATAAAAAGTTTACAGTCAATTTTCAAACATTAAAACATATCAACCACTAAATAAATATATCAACGATAATCATAAATTTTCAATAATTATTCTATTTTAAGTATTATTTTCATTAAAATCAATTTATAAAGAATAACTCCATATTACACTATTATACACTTTTGGAGAATTGTTAAATGTAATTCAAGGACAACAAATACAATAAATGATCAAGTAACACAATTCTCAAGACATTTTATTTTAAAAAAATGAGATATTTCTAATTTTCTTAATTTATATATTCTGTTAGGATAATACATGTAATCTCTCACTTACAATTTTCACTTACAAAAAAAAATAAGGTATAATATATATCTAAATGATTACATATAATAATAATAGTAATAATCTTTATATGAACACATTAAAATGAAAATCTGAAATGATTCAGATTTTAATGTCACATTAGAGGATTTTGTTAAGTTTTTTTAAAACTCGCATCGAGCACTGAATGTTATTAATCTGCTCTTGAACTCACTCCTGTTAACACTTTTTTTTTTTTTTTTTTTTTTTTTTTTTTTTTGTCCTTTTAGCTTTACTAAGCATCACTTGAAACAATATACATTATGGAAAACAATATACATTATGGAAAAAAGTACTGTGAATTATTGGGGGGGGGAATCCTCAGTTCTAGTAAACAATAGAAATTCTAATCAGTCTTTACCCCCATATTTTAAGGAAAATATTTCATAATTGTTTTTATTTTTTCATCAATAAATGTCACTTGACAATAGATGGTGCTTTCATCAATAGTAACTTGACTTCCTTCTGATTCCTATTGCCTTATCACTGGTTTCTCTTTTGTCATTTGCATACTTGCAGCTGAAGAGGAAGGTTCTATATTTAAACCTTCTAAACCAGTCCTTCAAACATGAATATTATGCTAAATCTTGTTGCTTTAAGTTCTCCAATGATCATTATTCGGGTGATATTTTCAAGTATTATGAATTCAGTTCTTGCCCCTGACATAGCAATATGCAATATAGTACAACAAGCAAAGCACATGCAACATGCCAGCAGTTAAGGATGCTAATGACAATCCATGTGATATGTTCAATTACTCAAATTCTAAGGTCAAAAATTGGTGACTGTGTAATTTACATAAATATTTGCATTGATTTTTCTGTGTATTTTGTTGCATATTGAATTTTATGCATTTTAAATTACTATATGTTAATTTTTACTCATTTAAGCATATTTTAGAGTAATTTTGTATTCCTTTATAATAAATTTCAAGTAATCTTTCCTTCATCACTTAAAACACTTGTTAGGTATTCATCTGCTTCTACTAGGTCTTAAAGACACTTTATGAAACTTCCAGGAAACAAATTCCAGGATTTTTTGAAAACTTAGAGGAAGTTTTTGAGAACCTCACTGACAATTATTTCTAGAATATTCTGGTAATGCCCTTCACTCTTGGTCTATGGTAAATAAGAAATAAGTCATTAATCAAGTGAAAGTTAGTCAACTTAAATAGATGGTTCAAGTTTCGTTCCTCATCTATTAGTATGGAGGTATTAGAGGTAGTATTAGAGGTTCCAAGTATTAGAGGTTCAGCATCAGCTAAATAATTTCCAGAAACGATATAAACTTTTTCATTGAAGGCATTATGAACAGTTCGTAAATAAATTTTTGCCCTTTCCTAATTAAAATGCTGTGAAAGTACCTGACTACATTTTTCTGGTTACATTTATATTAAATTAGTTGAATTCCATAGTTATTTTGAAGGCATTTTTTCTCATTGTTTAATGTTATCAAAATAGTTGTGGACAGACATGATCACATTAGGTGGCACCTACTGTATTCATTTGTATCTTGAATCACATGCAATGCACAGCAGTCTCTAATTTAGAAACACTATACCTACTATAATAAATTTGCATCTAAGAATTAAATTACTTTAACACTTTTAACATTCTTTGTGCTTACTGAGGGTTCAACTGCCCATAATAATTAATCAATGGTGAATAACAGTTCACCAGTACTCTCTTCCACTTAATAGTGCAATAAACAACAAATTAAATAAGTAGTCAATACTTTCGATTTCGAGATCAATAATTTTACCTGAGTATAGATTAAGTTTTCTGAAAATTCAAAGCACATTAAGACTATGTTATAATTAGGACACTAATTTTATTGCAAGAAAAGGCAAAATTCCTGACGGTCAATGATTAAAGATGAAATATATATACATATATAGGTTTCTTCTTTTTTACTATAATATTCAGTCTAGTAGTCAGTCTATAATTCCAGCCTAGCCACATAGTGCATGTTGGCTGAGCTAAGAGTAAATTATAGTACCACTCTAAAACACAAAAATTTGCCGATTACATATGACTTTGATAATTTAAAAAAAAAAAAAAAAAAAAAAAAAAAACACTTCCTTTGGGATTTACAAAGCATTACTAATAAGAGTTGTTCTCAATAACTTTCAAATCAAGTTTTTGCCAAACTAAAAACTCAATATACAATATTTACATACTAAACCAACATTCTCTTTAGCAATCAATTGCATTACAAAATTAGTTAAGTCCAATTAAAGTACTTTCTTAATTTCCCAAAAAGAATACATAATTTCATACTGGCTGTTACTTAAAAATTAATTTTACATGCATGAAAACATGCATTTACAAAAGAAATTAAATATTTACAATACAATCCATTTAAGTAATAAAAAAATCAGAAATTAAATTCTTTGATTTTTCAATGCCATGTATAAATTTTTAAATACTGGATTTTTTCCACTATTAATTGTGATAAAATTATATCATGAATGACAGTTTTTTTGTTTTAAAAAGTATTGCACACAAATTCTGGAATGGAAGCTATAGTTTACGAAATGGTTAGTGGGGGAAGCAATTATATCTATCCTATTAAATAATATGTAATTGCTGGATCATCACTTGTATAATATTACGACAGTTACAAAATTCTGAGGGGTCAAATAAGCAGTATTTTTTCCCTTTTAAGAAGTCAACAGAATTTTGAAGAAAAACGTATTAGAATTGAAGACTCTCCCAAAAAAAAAAGGGGGCATTTAGAGTATTTAAACGAAACACTAATAAAAAATTTCATTTATTGTTTTAATTCTGCAGTTTGCAAGTCAATTGAAGAAACATCTCTGCTCTTTTTTTAATTACAAAATTTTAATCTGCACTTGTGCTTTCCCCTTTTTTTTTTTTTTTTTTACTTTTACTTTTACTATCACATACCTTTTTGACTTTGAGTGCTTGACAATATGCAGCACGATCAGATTTGGTACATCATAACAAATCAGGAGTTATATTAATATTCCTCATACCTCCACTAACTTTTATGGCACAATAAATAGTTCACATTGCTATTTCTGATTGCACTATAAAAATTTACTCTATACCTGCTGGAATGATGCTCACGCAATACATAATTCATCAAGAAAGTTATCTCCTTCCAATGTTGGTTCAAAAAGCACTTTTTTGGAATATCAGCATATGAAATTCCCCAATTTTTCCAGATTTGGGATAAAATATTTAAATTCCCTGACTTTTCCCGGTTTTCCAGGTAGGATGGCAATTCTGTATTTATACAGTCAAAAGTCGTTAATTCGGACACTCGTAATTCGGAATGATCTCTAATCCGGACCTCAAAGCTACAAACTTTCTGCGCATGCGTCAATGCGACACGTGCACGTAAGACCTTTACGGCTGCGAATATGCATGTGCGCAAAATACGTTTACGAATGCGCGTTTAATGTATAACGGACGGTATAAGCAAAGCTAAAATTATCTAATTCAGTTAATGTTGCAGATTGCGTTGTTCCTTAATCTTCGGATTGGATTCGGCTTATTATTTTTTGCAGACTGTTAGAGAAATTTTATAAAAGTAAGCTTGAACTTTCGATTATGTCAAATAGAATTTCTGATATATATTTACTAATATGTAAAGGATTTACAAAGCGAAAGTATGCTTCGAAGTCCATTAAACAAAAAGTGGAATTGCTGCAAGAAATGGATAAAGGCATATCCTTTGTTTATCTAAACTTTGCTTATCTTTAACGCCGCGGCATGCAATTAATTGGAAGTTGATCTGTCAGCACTATCCTTATCTTCAGGGAAGATGTTTTTATTTTATTTGGCTTATAATTCTTTACTAAATGTAGTATTTCATCTTGATGTACTCAGTCTTTGATATCATTTAAATCAAATTCCTTGTCATTATAATTCGCTTGCGATAGCGAAGAAAGTGACAGAGGTTATTGAAAACGAAAAAATTTCGATTGACAAATTAGTTGGTATTCTCAACACAGCAATTATAGGACTTGAACAGCAGAACTTTGTAACTGAACAAGAAATTATGTCTGTTAATAGAATTAAAGAGAATGTATTATCACATAAAAAACGAAGCAACTTAAACAACTTACATTGAAAGAAATGTTTGACAAAGTAAACAAATAAATATTAAGCTCTTTTTTTTTTTTTTTTTTTTTTTTTTTTTGTTTGTAAATTTTGATACCCTTTAGATCATAACTGTTCTTTATTTCATAAATTATAGTTTTATATTTTTAATTTTATAATTTCTGCATGCATCTTACCAGATTTAAACTGATGATCTATAATCAGGAAAAATCGATAATCCGGATTCTCCGAAGTCCCAACGAGTCCGGATTAATGACTTTTGACTGTATATACTGTAAACTCTTGCTGATTTTGGACTTGCAGAATGAGATTTTGCATATATGCGCTATGTTAACTGCCTTCCTTTAATGTGTCCAATGCGAGAATTTCATTTATGCACAGTACACTACAGAGCATTGGCTGCACTGTAACAGACTATTTAGTTTGAAAATTCATTAATTAAAAAAGTCAAGCATTACTTAGAACAGCAAAATCTGGCTTTAAAATTCTAATTCTTGATAATGCTCCAGCCACAATGCTGATGTCCCCGTAATATTGCATCCAAATGTATAGGTTTTATTTCTTCCACCGCACACCACTTCCTTAATAAAACCAATGGATCAAGGAATCATTAAAACATTCAAAACTTATTATGTTTATATCTCTGCAAATAAAGCACTAGACAAAGCACAGCACAACATACTAATGGCATTTTGGAAGCAATTCAACATAAAATACTGCACAGAAATGACTAAACTTGCATTAGAAAAAGTGAATTCATCAACAATAAATACTTGTTGGCATCAGCTCTGGCCTGAAGCTGTAAACAATTTTAAAGGATTTCGGTCAAATGAAAATAAAGCCATGGAAATCACACAAATTTCAAAATAGGTGGCTAAGAATTTTCAGATATGAAAGAAGGAGAAATCAAAGAAAGTTGAGAATGATGATCATGAAATGACAAATGAAGAATTGGATTATCTTATAACACCAGCCAACAGTGAAAGCAGTAATCGTGAAGAAGACAAAGAGCATTTAACATACCAGAAGTTTAACCAATTTTTAAAATAGGCACAAAAACTGTCGAATTCTGTAATCAAGATTGACACAAGTGAAGAAAAAAAGACACTTTGTGAGAGTTATAAGAAAACTTTGTACTCCTTACAGCAAAATGTTTAATGAGCTGCATCAGACGTTGTCCCAAGCAAAAATCACCAGCTATTTAAGAAAAAAAAAATGATATATTTGCTTATTAAGCAGTTATAGAAATCCTTTCAATTAACATTTATTTTATTTTCCCCTTCTCATTACAATACTATTTATGTTTATTTAAATTATACATATTTTCTTAATCTGAGAATGCTAACTTTGTGGAATGCAGTTTTGCCATATGCGCAATGTGTTATCAACATAATCTCCAAATTCGGAAAGGGTTTACCGTAATGGAAAAAAATTTTTCACAAGTTGCATTCGAGTGAAGTATTTTTTATTATGACAGAATCCAGAAACATCATATTTTAAGACTGCTTTGAATGACCCGAAAACTGAAATTTGAAGATTGTGTTTTAAAAGTCAATTTAAATAGTTTCTGGCTTTAATAACATCCATTTTATTAAGAAATTTCATAATTTTGATTTGTTTTTAATTTTATAGTGCTAATTTCTTTATGCCTTTGAAAAAATACATGTTATTTACAGTTACCTTTTATCCTATGCGCAACCAAAAAGATTTTGTTGCTAAAAATGCATGATTTACTAACACTTTAGAAGGTTTAATGCATGAAAATTCTGTAGAATATGAGCCTTTAAATTTCTGACATGATATTTTTGCTTCATATTCTGAGGTGGCACAATGCACAAACTTAAAAAATTTCCAGTTTAGTCATAGCTCACAAGAAACGCGTTACATTTTCTTGCAAACCAGATGAGACCTGCCAGGTAAACAAGCCCTTCATTGCAGGATGCTTGATTGGAAAGATAAGGGTCAGAATTCATTGATCTATGATTGCCTACTCTTCAAAACCAGTAAGACTATTAACTTAACACGCGATACATGCCATTAGCATTTCACCAGTCATTGGATAAATAAGTTGATTCCGTTTCAAATACTAGTTCTCTTGACCCCCTTTCAGTAAAATCCAGTTTTTTAAGAAATTTCCATAAAAATTATAGAGAATCCATAGCAGTTGGATTTAATATCAATTATGAATAAAATAAGCATAATATTATTAAAGCATGTTACCTGCTAATCGGTACACAATCATGCAAACTAAATTAACCAAATAAATATAATCAATCTATTTATTTATTTATTATTGATATACAGTCTTACCTTAAAATTCATGATGTTATTGTAGGTGACGAGGACTTTCTCACTAGCAAATGGCGTGCAGCCAAATACCATTTCATAAGTTACTATACCTAAAGACCACCAATCACATTCAACTCCGTAACTTTTGCTGTTACTAGGACCAGCATTCATAGCAGTTAAGACTTCTGGTGCAACGTAATCTGGTGTACCAACAGGCATGCTACTTATAACCTAGTGTAAAAAAACAACACCCATGAATATTAAAACAGAAGTAAAATTTAACTGCTAGTAATAGTAAATTAAACATTTTTTCTCTAAGCCACAATGTATGGCATTCAAAACAATTTTTATTAATTACAATAATGCTGCAAATGTTCTTGAAAATTATTTGTATATATTACATATTAAATGTACTTTAAATTACAGCAGTTAAAATATTAACAAAATAAAAACTAGTGCATTTAACTAGTTTCAAATCATCTATTTTTATTGAATAACAGTTTTATTTGAAACAGAGACTGAATGGCAGCACACAACTAGCTATTCACCAGATAAGCATCAAGGTTTCTTTATTTAAAAAAATTATTTCATTTACTTTAAAAACGTGATGGGGTTTGACAAACTGCTGTAATAGAAACACCACATACTACACACCACCACTTAGATTCATATTTAAAGCAATTTATGTGGTGCAGATTTCAAGAAAAATATTTTGTCGCTCTTTTAAATGCTGTTAAGGACAAATTTATTAAAACTGATGCCAGAATAATTGGCACCAGTTTTAATAAATTTGTTTTGTCAGACAATCACAAGGCTTAAGCTCATGTTTATTTAATTTTTTATATGTTATATTCATAACTTGCAGCTCTTGCTTATCTAAGTAATTAAAGAGTGACCTATTGCTTCAAAATTCAGTCAAAATTATTGATGCAGATTTAGAGCAAAAACTGCCAATTTTTGCAGCCCACTGGAAAATATACAAGTACCAATTAATTTTAATAATAGGATAGGATAAAGATTATTTTTAGATATGATATTTGTGTGATGTACACCTTGTATAAATTTAAAAAAAAAAAAAAAAAGAGAGACATTTCTATATCTCCCTTTCAACAGTGCCAATTGATTAAACTCGTGTTTATTATGTCTCAAACGCACGACTTAAAACAAATATTAGACTTGTACAATCAAAAGTCGTTAATTCGGACACCCATAATCTGGAATGATCTATAATCCGGACCTCAAAGCTAAAAACTTTCTGCGCATGCGCCGTGTTAACACATGCACATAGGCATTTACGCGTGCGCGTAAGACTTTTAGGACTGCGCATATGCGTGTGCACAAGCGCAGAATACGTTTTTGCGTGCGAATTTAATGTATAACGGACGGTATAAGCTAAAATTATCTAATTATCTATTTCAGTTAATGTTGATGATTGCGTTGTTCCTTAATCTTCGAATTGGATGCCGCTTATTATTTTTTGCAGACTGTAAGAGCAATTTTATAAAAGTAAACTTGAACTTTCGATTATGTCAAATAGAATTTCCGATGTTGGTGTGTGGTGGTGTATTTAATTATGGCAAAGCACACGAGGGCTATCTGCCTAAAGGGAGGGATGCCTTTTGTGGAGGACTTTCTAAGGGAAACTGGCTCGTATACACGTTACACATGGGGAAAACCACGAAAACGCCCATGCAGCCAGCCCGTTCGCGGGATTCGAACCTCAGACCGAACTACCAGTGTTCAGCGTCTTTACCGCTCGGCCGCTGGTGGGCATTTCCGATGTTGGAGCTCCCAAAGGATCTACAAAACGAAAGTATGTTTCGATGTCCGTCAAACAAAAAGTGGAATTGCTGCAAAAAAATGGATAAAGATATGAAGAAGGTGACAGAGAGGTTAGTGAAAACGAAAAAATTTCGATTGACAAGTTAGTTGGTATTCTCGGCACAGCAATTAAGGGACTTGAACAGCGGAACTTTGTAACTGAACAAGAAATTATGTCTGTTTATAGAATTAAAGAAAAAGTATTATCACATAAAACGAAGCACCTTAAACAACTTACATTGAGAGAAATGTTTAATAAAGTAAACAAATAAATATTAAGCTCTTTTTTTTTTTTTTTTTTTTTTTTTTTTTTTTTTTTTTGTAAATTTTGATACTCTTTAGATCATAATTGTTCTTTATTTCATAGATTACGGTTTCATATTTTTAATTTTAGAATTTCTGCATGCCATCTTACGAGATTTAAACTGATGATCTATAATCCGGAAAAATCGATAATCCGGAACTGCGAAGTCCCGACGAGTCCGGATTAACGACTTTTGACTGTATATAGCACTGTTCTAACACAAGTATTCTGATAAAAAATTGGACTCTTTTAAAACGAAAATTTTTTTTCCATATTCCAATTCTCTGACTAAAATTATGGCAAAGTGCCACATTTTGTAAAAAAATCGCACAAGCAATTTTTAAAAAATTAATTTGGCTGCTCAACATTAATTGAATTTGATATATGTTAATTTATATTTTTTTTTATTAAACTTACTTGATTCCTTCTTTCACAATTCGAAATTTAAATTCAATCCAAAAAAAATTTGCAGCTATTTTCTGATTTTTTAAATTCGTATTTTTTACAAATTTCTTTAAATGTTTCGAAAACAATTCTGAATATTAACCTATAAAATTTTTACTATCATCTTAAAGTAGACGTACTTTTAGGCAAACTTACAAAAAATGAGATGTTTTATTCAAAACTTCCAAAGATACATGTGAATTTATATAATGGTGCACTTTGATATCTGACCCATTTGTTTCAAGCGATAATAATGCCAAATGTGTTTTACGTACTTTGTTAAAATTATTTGAAAAAATGAACGATGCACCTATTTTTCTGCTCGTACACAGTGAAAAAAAGAAAGGAAAATAAGTTGCTACAAATTAAGAATTTCACAATATGAATTATTCTTGACACAAACAAAAAAAGTGCGGCAAGATAAATTTTTTAATTTTTTGGTAACTGTCTCACCAGATTTTACAAAATTTAATATTTGAGCATAATCTGAGTTGTAGAATAAAAATAATATGCCATTTCAGAAAAAATCCAATTTTGCATCAAAATACCTATGTTAGAACAATGCTATATACCAGACATGGCCAAACTGCGTCTCACGAACCACATGCGGCTTTCTGACACCTCAACTGCGGCTCACGATCTACTTGGCATACTTTGCCATCTGAAATGTGACTTGTTTTGAATAAATATAGTTTAATTTGTTTAATACAAATGGAAATTGAAATCATTCAGTGCCACATTTTTTTATTAATCGCTAATTTAATTTCTGATATTATGCATGTAAAAATTTGACAGATTTTAAATCTGCTGCTGGCTTATCGTCAGAGCAACAAACCTATAAAATAACAAATAATTCCATTTCTGGTAGTTACTGTTCTGGTTATGTTACTTTTTGAACAGCAATAGTCATCGGAATACACTAATAAAGTTAATCTAAGACGCAATGCTAATGTTTTTGTTTAATTACTCTCCCTAATATTTTTTCTCTGAAGTTCATTTTACTTCAGGCAGTATCTGCTTACATTCCTATGTGATCCCATTGTTCACAACAGTTGTGATCCACCTGGAAAACTTGCTACTCATTGTAGGGTTGGACCTTTTATTAAGTCTTTAAATGGCATGAGTAACTGCTGAAGAATCTGTTTCGCCTTGCAGTCCATATAGAGCTCTTTAAATCTGAAGAAAATTTTACGAGGATATTATTTTGGTGGAGTGAAACATCAGCCTCTCACTTAGTTAGGAGACTTTTCAGTCAAACTGCTGCAAAATTAACTTCCTAAGCAAGTCGGGCATTTTTATGCAGTTGCTTCATTGATTTTGCAACTATTCATAATAATATGCTCAATGATAATTTTTCCCACATGAAACTTGTATCCTTCATAATCCTAGGCAGAGATCATAATTTATTTCACCAATGGTTGTGCATGCTGAAATATTTGAAGTCGGAAGAATTACTGCTTTGACAACAATTCAAATTTTAGTCAAAATGTTTAATTCTCATTTTATCAAATATTGTTATTCCAGATAGAAATCTTTCACAATCATCAAATCTTCATATCAATGTTTCATCAAGCAATGAGAGATCAACAGAGCACAAACGACTCTCTTCTCCTTATTCTAATGATAATTTTTCGTCATCAAAGTTTCTGTCAAAATCGGCATACTGATATTGGTCAAATGTTTTCAGCTTGTGATATTTCTCGTATTTTTCGATTTCTTGTTCGATGACCTTCTTTCTTTCTACCTCGCACTAGGTTATAAGGTATTTCTCACGCCTTCTTAACATGTCTTCGTGGTATAATGGCCAGCACACTCAGCGCATATTCGAGAGGTCCGAGTGTCAGCAAGGCAACTGCTCATTTTTCACGTTACCTGCTCTGAAAAAACCTAATAGTCTCTACAGTGGCACCCAAACTAAAAAAGGTGATGGATGATGATTCTCCACCACCAGGATTTGGCAATTGGGTCCCCTAATCCCCAGTCATCCTTTAAAAGGGGGAGTATATAAGGTATTTCTTCTTTCTTAGCATGCCTTCCTGGTTTAATGGCCAGCACACTTGGCGTGTATTCGAGAGATCCGAGATTCAAATCGTGTTTCTCATTTTTCACGTTTCCTACTCCGAAATATCCTAATAGCCTCAACAAGGTTAGAGGCATATCTAGAATTTTTTCATCCCTTAGTACTGCCGCTCAGCAGCTGCACTGGTTGCCCCGGGGCATATATATATATATATATATATACGACCTTCCAAAATGCTATCATTTGCATTGCGAAGCTACCAGTAAAATTATTTGCAAAGATTTGGAATGCATGACCTTGACATACAAAGAAGGATATTATTTCAGAGAAAGGGGGAAGACCTGGGGAGGGATGTTTCTAAAACTGCGAAAATAATGACTGCCCAGTTATTAGAAGTGTTTCTGTTTGAGTAAAGCGTATTTTAGTTATTGCGCGTCTTCCATTTCCGTTTACTGTTTGTAGTAGGTGCTTTTTTTGTGAATATGCATGCCACTGAAATAGATGATTACTTTCCTTCATCTTCAGGATCAGACACCTCAGAATATGATATTACGTGAGATGAAGAGGATTGTGACCATTCTCCAAAAGATGCTTGACATTGGGTATGTATGACTCAATATGAAAAATTTGCCTATGCCGCCTCCCCGCTTTGCATTTAGGTATATTGATTTTACAAGGTATAATACTAAAACCTGACATTACACTTTATGGGTTTAAAAATAAATTGATTGAAACTTCATTTTGGGGATCTTTTTTATTGTCTTTTTCAATATACATCTTTTTTATTATACAAGCATCATTCTTATTCATTATTATACACATATATATTATTCATTATAATATACATCATTAAAAAAGTTAACTTTTTTTTATTATACTTTTGCAATTTCGTATTTTCATTTTTTCTTTTATTCTTCATTTGTGAAAGTAAACAGGTTTTAGACAGCAAAACTTGCGTTTATTTTCCCCTTAATATATTGCATAACTATGCGCGTCTGTGTAAAAAGGTGGTGGCACTGGGGAGTGAATTTTGTACGTTTTCTGCAGCAGTTAAGCGGTTTTAATCTGTTGATATCTTTTGTCTCCCTATTTTTCGATCAAAATGTATGTCTGACACATCCTTCATGAAAGCTCAGTAGCCAAACGAAATGTTGTACAATGATCCACTGCTTGATCACTACAAATTTCAGGCAATGTGAAATTTTGCTCCTGTAATCGTTTATTTTTAAAGTCTGATCTTTTATTCTTTAAAGTATCCTCTGCCTACAGACTCCATTTGACATTTATTTTCTGTACACAGTTTAGGTAACCCAATGGAAAGTTGTACTACGTAACCATTAGACTAACAATAATTTATTTTAAAATTTCTTCTGGGTTATTTTACTCAAATTCAAAGCGAGATGGTAAGTCATTTGACTGCCTTTATGGGTCCAATAGTTAGAATATGGTGGATCTGTATACCTATTTGGCAAGAACTTAGGAACTAGCTTAGGAACTGTGCAGATGTCTGCCGTGTTACAAAAGATCTCCGAAATCGAAGATCTGTCATGTCCATACAGAAAAATGAAGAGTTACGCATTCATATTGTATCTACATCTGCGAAATAAATTCATTATACTAGTGACAGGTATGGTTTCTTTCTGCAACACTGGTTTTGATTTGTATGTATTTGGAAAACAGATCAAAAATAAACAGCTAGATTGTTCAGCTGGTAGACAGAGTTCGGCTGGTAGACAGATGGAATATGTGCTTGTCAAAGCCTTTGTATAGCCCAGCATGAACTACTAGATTTATTAGCAATAGGTTATGTATGTAAAGAATTATCATAAAGATTCAAGAGGTGGTTTTGAGAATTTTCAATGATGCACATGGACTTGATTATCTATGTCCAAAATTATCAGAACAATTCAAGAGATAGTTTCAAGAATTTTCAGTGATGCGTTAGTTATTCCAAAGTTTTGAGAAAAAAATTTTAACAGTTTTTTAGGTTAAGATCCAATGATTTGAATGATCTCAGTATGTCGTTCCTTATGGTAATTTTGTGTAGAAACAAATTTACTTTTTAAGCAAAAGCCTAAAGAAGTTAATAGGTTATTTTTAAATAAATATGCTTTCTCAAATAACAGTTGCTCTGCAATGCATGTTGATATATATATTATTTAATTTACTCTTTCTAAAAGACTGCTCATGAGTTAAAAAAATTAAAAAACTCAATTTTCTTTTACATAATGATTTTTAATTTACTCAAATAACATTTTTTTACTTAACTGCATACCAATGAATATGCTTCCGATTAATTTTACTTCTACTAAAAACAACAACTACAGTCAAAAGTCGTTAATTCGGATACCCATAATCCGGAATGATCTATAATCCGGACCTCAAAGCTACAAACTTTCTGCGCATGCATCGCGTTCACGCATGCGCACAGGCGTTTACGAGTGCACGTAAGACCTTTACGGCTGCGAATATGTTTGTGCGCATGCGCGTTTAATGTGTAACGGACGGTATAGCTAAGCTAACATTATCTAATTCAGTTAAAGTTGCAGATTGCGTTATTCCTTAATCTTCGAATTGGATCCGGCTTATTATTTACTGCAGATTGTTAGAGCAATTTCATAAAAGTAAGCTTGAACTTTCGATTATGTCAAATAGAATTTCGGATATATATTTACTAATATGTAATTTGTATCTACAAAGCGAAAGTATGTTTCGAAATCCGAAATCTGTTTATCAATTTCATGCCACGGATTGGAAGTTGATCTGTCAGCACTATCCTTATCTTCAGGACAGATGTTTTTATTTTATTTGGCTTATAATACCTTACTAAGTGTAGTATTTCATCTCGATGTACTCCGTCTTTGATATGATTTAAATCAAGTTCCTAGTCATTATAATTCGCTTGCGATAGTGAAGAAAGTGACCCAGAGGTTATTGAAAACGAAAACATTTCGATTGACAAATTAATCGGTATTCTCAACACAGCAATTATAGGACTTGAACAGCGGAACTTTGTAACTGAACAAGAAATTATGTCTGTTTAATAGAATTAAAGATCACATGAAAACATGAAGATTAAAGATCACATGAACAGGAGATATAGAACTGCCCTTTTTTTTGTGTGTGCAAGGTTTATGTATGTGATTCAAAATTTACCCTTACGTTCAGTTTACAGATCAATAAATTTCAAGGTACGGTTTGATTTATTTGATTATGGCAAAGCCTGCAAGGGTTACTTGCCTGGTAAATTTGAAGGAATTGAGTAATCTGGAGCAGTATATCAAAATAACATAACATGAAGATGTATGCAGTTCCAGCATCTAATACATTCATAAGTACATTTTATAATTGGATTTTTAATTAAAAATACAGTTGTAGAGACATCAGGATTTTTTGGAAGTAGAAGACATGAAAAATGAGCAATGCCCTCACTGGGAATCGAACCACAGACCTCTCAAATACGCGCCGAGTGTGCAGATCATTACACCACGAAGGCGGGAGAAATACCTTATATACTTCCCCTTTTAAAAGGCGACTAGGGATTAGGGGACCCTAGTCGCCAAATCCTGGTGGTGAAGAATCATCATTCACCACCTTTAGTTCCAGTGCCACTGTAGAGACATTAGGTACTTTTTGAAACAGGAGACGTTGAAAAATAAGCATTGCCCTCGCCGGGACTCGAACCACGGACCTCTCGAATACACGTCAAGTGTGCTGACCACTACACCATGAAGGCACAAATCAGGAAAAGGAGAAAGAAGGCAGGAGAAATACCTTATACAGTAATACAGTCAAAGAATATTTATTCGTATATAGAAAAAATTATAAGATTTACTTATGAAATATTAATTTTAATTTACGCATGAATTGGGAAAAATCTAATTCGTTTTTTATGGCCATAAGCCCAGTCGGCGGGCAAATAATGCATATGGTCAACGTCATACTAGGAAAAAGAAATAGCCGTGCGTTTGTCATAAATTATGTTGAGTGCGAGCGATAATTTTGTCGAATTTACGACAGATGATTTCCAGGCGGCCAGGCACTCGAGGATCCAATAATATTTGGTTTACTGGGCCGCTGACAAAAGATATATATTGCAGGGCTAAATAGCTGAAGACTGTCGCGTAGTTTTCCAGAGATCGGTTTGTTTTTCCTTTGGAAAATCGTGGACCTCGGAGTGGGCTTTAGTTGGACGAACATTGACCCGCCTCTGATTAGAAGTACAGGGCCACCCATGCATAGTGGAGAAAATCTGTGACTTTTTGGGAAATGAATATGCCCCAGTCAACACTTTTTTAATATATAGTGTGTGACCTAGTAATGAGGGATCATTATTGAACATTTAGACGACCTAAGTTTTACTAAGTTTAGAGTTGATGGCAAGAGAGAAAGAGTACTGTTAGTGTGCAAGTATTCTGTGTGAAGTGCCTGTGAGGTCAGTAGAGTTCCGACATAACGAATTATCTGAGCCCACATTTCTTCCGGTAAGCGTAACGGTAGTAAAAAGTTTCTTTCCTTCTAAAAAGGCAGTTAGCATTTTTCATTTTTAATTTTTCCTCACCTAAATATTAGATACAATGAATATGGAATTCAGTGATTCGTCTGAGAATCCGTATCTGGAAGCATGTGAAAGAGACGAAGAAATAGAATACTTTCATCATCATCGGACACGGCAACTGATAGAAATACCATGGAGGAAGAAGTTTGGGAGTCTGATGTATTTGACCAAGATGATGACGCAGAATGGCGGAAAATAGCAGAAAAATCTGCATCAGAGGAAGAGTATTTGGAAGAAGAAGAGCTACTGATCGAAGAGATTGACTGCGACGATCCTGTTGCATTATACAGTACAAAGTCCGTAATCTGGACCTCAAAAACACAAACTTGTGTATGCGCGTAATGCACTTACGAATGCGTGCTTCCGATAGTGAAGAAAGTGAAAGAGAAATTATTGAAAACGAAAAAATTTCGATTGACAAGTTAGTCGGTATTCTCAACACTGCAATTACAGAACTTGAACAGTGGAACTTCATAACTGAACAAGAAATTATGTCTGTTTATAGAATTAAAGAGAAAGTATTAACACAAAAAACGAAGCAACTTAAACAACTTACATTGAAAGAAATGTTTAATAAAGTAAACAAAATATTAAGTTTTTTTTTTTTTTTTTCTAATTTTGATACCCTTTAGATCATAATCGTTCTTCATTTCATAAATTACGGTTTCATATTTTTAATTTTATAATTTCTGCATGCATCTTACCAGATTTAAACTGATGATCTACAATCAGGAAAAATCGATAATCCGGATTCGCCAAAGTCCCGACCAGTCCGGATTACAGACTTTGTACTGTATAAATTATTCTTCACAGACGAGACATTGGAGATCATCGTTGAAGAGACAAATAGGTATGCTAAACAGTGCATAGTGAGTGCATATGGCAGGAGACAACATCAACAAGCATGGAACTCCGCTACAAAAAGTGAATGGAATACCTTTACTGGTATCTTGCTTATTATGGGTACAGTGCAGGTACCCAAAACTCGACTATATTGGTCCAAAAAGGAGATGTATGCGAATGCACGTATACAGAAAGCAATGAAACGAGATTGATTCTTAGCAATATTGAAATACTTGCACTTTTCTGATAATGAAATGGCTAGAACCGAGGATCGGTTACATAAACTCCGAAATGTAGTTGATAAAAATTCTTTGCACATTTAAAGATGCAGTAAAATCCAGTAAAAATATAGTAATTAATGAAAGCATGGTTCTGTTTAAAGGAAGCCTTAGTTTTTGTCTATATATACCAGGTAAGCAGCACAAGTACGGAATAAAACTGTACAAACTCTGCCCTCCGGGCGGATATACATATAATATGCATATTTATTCCGGAAAAAATGAAACGAGAATTGTAAAATCACGTTTCTCATGATGTAGTCATTAAACTGATAGGAGATCTATTATTCAAGGGCCGGATTTTATTTACCAACAGTTTTTATACAAGTATTCCTTTAGACGAAGATCTTCTCACTAAAAGAACATATATTTGCTGTATACAGTCGAAATGAATAGAAAATTTCTACCACCGTAGGCAAAGCAAAAACAGAAACGGGGCAACATTATATCTCTTGAAAATCGGAGCGGCATAAAATTTTTAAAGTAGACCAACAAAAGACACCTGTGCATGTTAACCACTTTGAGATCTCACAATTGCGCCTTTCTTCGTGGAAAAGATAAATTAAAACGAGATACCGTTTTTTCTTACAATAGTGCGAAAAAGGGTGTTGATATATCTGACCAAATGCGTTCCTGTTATAAATGTTTACGGAAAACGGTAAAATGGTATTGAAATGTTGTCATGGAGCTAATATGCAGGACCTCTTTAGTGCATCCACAAAAAGTGGGGAACCAAGCATTACCAAATTTTAAAATTTAGAGAAAAATTTATTGATTATCTATTGAAGAGTGTTGAGAATCCCCCTAGGGAAGAATTAATAGTAAGTAGATGAAGGAAACATTTTTTAAGTTCACACCAAGGATCCACGAGGAAGATGAGGAAAAGATGTAAAGAGTGTTACAAATACTTCACAAACTTAAAAGGTGCACAGTACGCCACAAACAAAACAAAAAAATTAAAGACCTTTCGTAGCAGTTGTCCAAATAGCCAGCAGCACTTGTTTATAGTGTTTTTAAAAAATTGCATCAGTAAACTAAGTTTTATATTTTGTTATATTAATGTACTGAATTAAATTATAAGTTATGTATTTTGCGTTAAATTTTTGATTAAGGTAGAAATGTTAATTAATGTAATCAATAAATTACTTTTTTACTACGTATTTTTTTATATACAACTGGCCCATCGGTGATGCATGCCGCCCCATGGAACAATCTAGTAAGGACCACCGGTGGGTCAGGCCGCCCCATGGAACAGACAAGCATGGGCCACCGGTGGGTCATGCCGGTGTCAATGTGTTGAAGTTAAATTAATTTTAATTAATTCTGCAGTTATTGTGTTTATTTAGTCGACTTTGATTTTTGAGTGAATTATAAAATTTTCAATTCTTTAGGTTCACTTAATTTAATTTCAGGCATAAGAATTGATAGGTAAGAATCCATTTGCTTTGCTTTAATTAGAGATTGCTTTTCTGTTGTCTCCACAGAACCAGATAATTCTGCATATTGTTTTCCAGCAGACAATCATTTGCACTTAATTTACAAGGGTAAGTTGAAAAATAAGTTTCCCCTGTCCCTGTGTCAGTTGTGTAAAGTCAAAATAGAATGAGACATTAAAATATGACAATACCTTTATTTTTCCACATAGGTAACAGTACATTGAGACATTTGTCATATCGCTTGAAGCTTCTCAAAAACCTCCAGAAAAAATCAGGGCTTGCATATGGAAGAACGGGGAACACTTGTCACTTCATATTGCTCCAAAGTCCTTCCCCCCCCGAGATTTTTCTTCAAA